ATATATTCAGACTACTATCAAGATTATTATGATTTTGTTTTCCATGTCCATCTCAGAAAGCAAGGCAAGAAGTAATCTGTAGCAAGAGAGATTTCTCTTAGATATTGGGAAAACTTTCTGACTGAAAAGGTAGTTTAGCTCTGGAATAGGCTTCCAAGGGAGGTTGTGAAATCCCATACAAAACAACTGTTAAGGATGGTGTAGGTTTACGTGGCCCTGTCTCAGTGCCGGGGGCTGAACTTGATGACCTCTCAACGTCACTTCCAGCCTGACAGTTCTCTGATTTTGTGATTTTACATTTTTTTTTTATTTAGAACAGGAAAGAATCCAAATCTTGCACTTCTCCAGTATGGACGACTATACCAGTCATGTCCTCTCCACTTGTTTGAAAGGATCTTCATTGGTCCTGCCGTGAGGGCAGGGGACTGGACTCAGTGACCTCGCCAGGTCCCTTCCAGTTCTAGTATTTATAATGCTATGAAGGCTGCAATTTTAGTGTACGTTGTGTCAATATTTTATTATTTTTACAGTGGCCCAGAAGTGTGCAGGGTGCTTTATAGGTAGCACTCTATGTGGATACAAAATTAGTATCTTCATCTGCAAATTGATCTGCGGATATCCGCATCCACATCCACGGATGCAGATACCCACGGATATAAAGCGGATATCCGCGGATTTGCATGGCTCTATTTATAGAGTAAACAGGAAGGAAGGTCCCTGCCCTGAAATCTTGCAGTTGCAAAGAGACAGAGGAGCATTTGAGGATGTCTGTATCTTCTGCAGCTGTGGTGGAGAGTTACCATTCAGTCACTCTTGTGTCCACGCTCAACCTTGCATATTTCATACGTGTGGTCTTTTCTAAATTCCACACTGCTTCTAACAGCAGTCTAGAAATGGTGCCAGTAGAGTCTGGAGTCTTAGGAGGTGTCTTCACAGCACAGTTAGCTCAGGTTGTAAATCATTTATTATTTCTAATTTGACTGCCTCTTACATCCCAAACTCTCTCGTTCGAGTTAAATGGTGCCTTAGGCTTAAGCTAACTAGCCTGTAACAAAAGGGAGAAAGGAGGACGAACTAAATGGTGCCTTAGGCTTAAGCTAACTAGCCTGTAACAAAAGGGAGAAAGGAGGACCAACTTCATCAGGCCCTGCTGACCTGAATACATCACCACTAGTGGTGTGATGAGGATGCCACACCAGTGTGGCTTGAGAGCCTGAGCTGTAACAGCCAAGCTGCCCCAGCCACGCTCCCCGCTGCAGAATAGCCACCCGCTGGGTTTAAGATGGAGTGTTGCATGCTGTGTCCTTACCGCAAGAAGCCTCTTTTTATTTTAAAGGTGTGTTCTGCCCCCATGTGGTTTGAATTAAATGTGGCCCATCTGTACCTTGTTAGTTACTGGGGCCACTTTTGTTTGGGCAAAGTCTGGTTAAGGCCAGTTGTATGCTGCACTCTATAATAGGGATATGTTTTCTGAAGAGCTTGAAAAGAAAAAAAATGTTTCTACGTTAATAGTTGTTTGCCAACAGTTACATGCACACTTCCCAGTGTGTGATCTGCTATTGCGACAACTAATGTATGACATTAAGAGGAAGTTTAATTTAAACTGGAATTTGGCTGCGGAAAACTGATAGGTTGGCAGGTGTGTGTGTTGTTTTTAATTTGTCACATTAGCCATAGTGGAAGAGATGGGAAATGAGTGGAATAAGGAGACTATCTTGGATCAGAAATATTTAGGGGGACATCTATTTTTCCCGTTAATATTGTTTAGGGAGAGGTTTACATTTGATGTGGCATCACAGTAATTTTTTTATTTTTGTGTGCCTGTACACATGCTGGCTGCAGTTGCTAGAGTCTTGTGAAACTGACACAGTCCTAGGCATTTTCATTCAGGCTCAGTCATGATATAGGATGGTGGGGACTCTGCCTACTTAATAACCACTGAAGGTGCTAACAGCTCCCTGAGTGTTATCCTTCCTGTCTTAGGAATCTATCTATTGACTTTGATTTTTATCTGCTTAGGTTTAAGTATTCATTCTCCAGATACTTAATGATGCTCTGTCTCCCACCCCCTTCCCTTTTTCTTTCTCTCTCCCCCTCCCCTCTCCTATTTATTTCAAGTTTTCATATCCCCAACTCATAACTCCCGTTATTTGAAGAAGTGGGCTGTGCCTACGAAAGCTCATGATACCATCTACATGTTTTGTTAGTCTAAAAAGTGCTACCAGACCATTTTTTTTTCTGTAACAGACTAACTCCGCTTCCCCCTGAAGCATCTGCTTCAGATAGTAAAGCCTTATTTGCAGAAGAAGCAGAGAATCAAATGAGAAGTTAGATTTTGTATGTGTGTATGTATATCTGGAAGCTGTTAAAGTTAATTTAGATGGAATTTTGTTTAGTACAAAATGCTAACATAACTCCTTACATCAAGGTACTTTAAAATCAAGATTCACATTAAACTAGGGCTCTGTGCTAGCAAACACTTAAGTACTGTTTTAACTTATATGAATAGTCCCATTCACATGGTGTGTGTGGGGGGGGTACTTGTTATGCGAATAAAGTTACACCAGTATTCAAGTATTTCAAAGGTCAGGGTATAAGTGAACATGGAGGGACATAGGGATAGAGACAGGAGAATGATGAAGATGGAAGAGCTGCTCTGGTAGATATGAGGCAGGACATTTTAGTTTGTAACTTTTGGGGATTAGGTGGCTTTGTAGAGTGTAGGCTCAGCCCTTAAGGGAGGAAGAATCTTTTACTTGTCTATAGTGACCCCTTCTGTCAGGAGGAATATTGACCAGTTATGAAGAGAGCCACTTTTGCTCCTTTTTGGCCAGTTCTGCTGCAATGAGTTGAGGTAAGAGGAAAAAGAAGGTATCTCCCCACCGAAATAGGAAATGTGCCATAAAGTAAAAAGAAGAGTGAAACAAATAGAGAGGTGGGGGAGGGGAGATGCCAAGAACTAAAATGAGAGAAAAAAGCTTCAGAGGGGTGGCCTAGTTAGTCTGTAACAGGAAAAACTTCAAAAAACAACAAATAGTCTAGCAGAACCTTAAAGACGAACAAAATATGTAGATGGTATCTTGAGCTTTTGTGTCATCTGAAGAAGTGGGTTGCCCCCACGAAAGCTCATGATACCATCTACATGGTTTGGTTGTCTTTAAGGTGCTACTAGACTATTTGTTGTTTTTTAAGTTTTTAAAATGAGAGCGAGGGAGGAAGGAAAGAAATGAGTGAACTCCACAGAGCAGAGGAGTTTGCTTTAATATGGGAGAAGAGATATTTAAGTTTCCTCTAGCTCTTACTCGGATTAATTTTGGGGGAGAATCTTTTTGCCTCATTTGAAAATCGTTCTTTTCACAGGCAAATTAACCCCAACTTCTCAATTATATCTAGATGTATTCCTATCTGGGCACCTTTCTATCCAACTGTTCAGTTTCACAGCATCAAAAAACTTAAATTTTGTTATATGTACATTTAAAAAAATGGACCCTGTCTTGGTCAGTCTTTATTGAAGTCACTACCCCTGGTCTAAGCCCCCTTGAGAGTTTTTTTCCTGGAACAGGTCTCATTAACCATTCCACTCTCTCAATAGGAAAGTTATTGCAGAAATTAAATCTGAGTTTTCTGTATGGATGTTCTGTGCTTAAATGTGACTGTTATTTCTTCCTCAATGATTGTATCCATTTCCAGCGATATATTAGGAGTATATTCAAAGTATGACTTTGTGTTGAAGATTTTATGATTAAACGTGGTTAAAGCAGCAGCTAATGTGCTAGATTCACTGCCCTTCCCTCTTGAGTCTTATTTCTCTCCTATGCTTCTTTAAATTCTGGACACAGCAGATGCTAGTGTTGAGAGTCTGTAGGGGAGATTTTAGGGCTCTTTTGAATTAGTTTTTTAGGTTTGTTATGGAGCAATGTTAAAGTTGAGAGTAGTTAAAGTAGCCCACAATTATTAGCCTGTTATATTCACCTAAACTAAACCATTCTCTCAAGTGTTATCTCAGCTTTGATGTAAATCAGATCAGGCTTTCTGGAGATAAGAGGGTTAAACAGTATGATTATCTCTGTTGGGGAAACATTTTCCTTATTTTTAAACTTATTTTCACTTGTCACAACTCCAAAATGGGTTGATTAAACTATAATCTGTTCGTTTTAGCAAGACCTTATGTTTGGGAAGATTATTGTCAAAATGATCATTAACGGTTTCTGTCTACATTATGAGCATAGTAGAGCTTATAAACTCCATGTGGCCACAAATCAGATAGCCATGATGGCAGAAGCAGCAGGAGAGAGACCACATGGAGTGGAGGGCCTGGAACAGTTTATCAATAAGAGGCAGAAGAGGGTGAGTTAGGTTGCTTCTCAACATTCCCTGTCACTGAGACATGAAAGTGTGTATTGTTGTAGGATAGGATCATATCCTGGTTTTGAGGTTTCCCTCCCATTAAGTAATTGATAGTTACAGCCTTAACTCCACTGTACCACATATTTTGCATAGGAATGTTAGCTGGTAGAAGTTGGCGTGTTGCCTTGTAAACAAAATAAAAATAGAATTTGACTTTATACTGTTGTTCAAATGAATATGAAAAATCCAATCAAATGTTTATTTTTTTTTAAAGCCTCATCTAGTATTCAAGCAGTTAATATGTTGGCACTGCTGTTGTATGATTGATTTCCGTGTTGTGCTGTTCTTTGAATGGCTCTCCAGTGCTTTTCTCAAAGTCTAATTATTAATGATTTCAGGAGTCGGAATAGGAACAAAAACATCTTCAGCTCTGTAAACACTACTGAAAGAGAGCATTGGCCTCGGAGGCAAGGAGTACCATTAAAATGTCATTGATCTTTGCTCAGAGATGTACAGTTGATTGCTGAGGCTGTCCTCAGAAGCAATTTGATTTCATGTGATAAAGGTTGTTCTTATTCTCTGGAGTGTTCTCTACTCTCTGTTCTTCCTGGCAGCCCTGGGACTCACCAGCATGATTTTCTCTGTCCTGTCAGGTTATCACCCCATGTCGGAAGCTCATCCTCTGTGCGGATAATAGAAAAGAGATGGAAGATTGGATTGCAGCTCTGAAGACAATACAGAACCGTGAGCATTTTGAGGTAATAGAAGAGCCTTATTATTTACCAGCTGCATTTTGTGCCGTTCCTCCCGAACAGTATCTGTTTATGGGATTGACCTACTGCCCGTTAATGTGAGTCCTTTCATTGACTTCAGTGGGCACTGGATCATATCCAAACTGCCAAACCTCCAAACTGCTACCTGTGTACATCCCTCTTAGAGTGACTTTTCTTCCCTGTATAGTTCCCTCTTGGTGGGTGTAGAACACTTGCCACTGGGAGAGAGGGGGTGGGTGGGTGCAGAACACATGCTTTGCACCCAGTCTTGATGTCAGCCGACCACTATTTCTGTGACTTGTCACACCTGCTCAGGATTGAGCCTACTCCAGGTGCTTGATCTGTAAGAACCTAACTCCTTGTCCTTTTGTGTGCTTAGCTTGCCTAGTGTGTTAACTGCACAAAGCCTGCCCTCTCCCTATTTCCCCAAAAAAGATTGTGCCATTTTTGCCTTTTCTGTCTGTTATGTTTGAGTTTCTCTCTTAGGAAAACTCTCAACCTCCACCTTAGGTTTTACTGTACTGTATTTATTTTAAGTCTACGCAGTATAGTATGGACCATTTCTCAGGGATGCATAACTGGTACGCCTGCTCACATGCTCGGCCAACGTACTGCAATGTGTGCCGGGAAGCATTATCTGGGGTCACATCGCATGGACTCTCATGTGAAGGTAAAAGCACTTTATTGTCTCCCGCTCAGGGCATAGTGCCATGATGACTCACTACTGTATTCCAAAGATCGTTTAAAACAATGGCGCTATTGTTTGCGGATTACAGAATGGGCCAGAAAAGTGACATCAAATGCACAGAAAGCTATAGAATATGTAAGATTGGAATTATGGGCTTAATCCTACATTCCTTTTGCTTTCAAAGTCCTGTTGGCTTTCTGGGGAATTTTATAGGTGTATAACAAATGCAGGATCCAGTCCTTAGGAAGATGACAGAAAATACATAGTTTTAATGAAGCAAAATGCAGGACAATGTAGCACTTTAAAGACTAACAAGATGGTTTATTAGATGATGAGCTTTCGTGGGCCAGACCCACTTCCTCAGATCAAATAGTGGAAGAAAATAGTCACAACCATATATACCAAAGGATACAATTAAAAAAAATGAACACATATGAAAAGGACAAATCACATAGTTTTAATGGTGCTTCTTATGCTGTTGGATCTGGCAGTGGTGTGGGGAAGCACTTATTTTTGATCAGCAAAAATCATTGCCATAGAATATTAGAATTTTCCAAATCAGATGTGTGAAGGTGTCTGTTTTGAAGAATCAAATTGAACTTGTATTTTTTATTATTCATAGCAGCAGGTGCACAAAATGTTGGAATCTCTACTCTTGGTCAGCTTGGGCATAGCAGACTAGCACAGCTTCTTACAGCTCATACTTCTAGCTTACACCCATGATGTGTAATGGGATTCAGGCATATTTTACTGTAGCTATCATGTCGTATTTAACAAGGGGATAACTAAGCCTTGTACAGTCCAGCGGTGAAAGTGAGGAGCAACTGTTAGTAGCTAGAGAAAATAGAGGCTTTTAATCAGCTCAGTGCATTTAGCTCTGACTGTTTTGCCATTTCTAACAAGGCAGAGGGTGCTGTCTTTTGGAACAGACATTTGAAACTCTGTTTCTCTGCTCAGGTAGCCCTTTTGTTCATACTATCACATCGTGTGTTCAGTGGCAGGATTCATTTCTTTTTCCTTCCTCTTTAGTATGCAAGTTTAAAGCTCACAAGCGGTGTGCGGTGCGGGCAACCAACAACTGCAAGTGGACGACATTGGCATCTATTGGGAAGGATATCATTGAAGATGAAGATGGGGTATGTATCAGCCTAGACCACATCCCCTCCGGGTTGTAATAGCTGGAACTATGGAGTTTACTTTGCATGTTTTCCTCACCTGTTTCTTATGAGACGTTAGGGTAGAATGAGTTGAAGCCTTCTTTTCCCCAAGTCCTGATTTGGAAAAATTAGATGGAACTGAGTGGCCTGGGGCTTGCCAATACTCTGTACAAATTATTGTGTGTGGAAAAAAATCAACTGTGTCTTTAAATGCAAATGACATGTAAAGCCACTTGGTGTCAGAATGTGATGCTCTTTATGAGAGAGCCTTCCCATTATTACTTATGTTTTATAAGGTTCCCTAATGGCCTTTATGAGAGAGCCTTCCCATTATTACTTACGTTTTATAAGGTTCCCTAATGGCCAGAGACACCTGTAGAATTATGGGCCAGGAGAACATGGTGCTCTGAGGTTGAGTAGTTAAAACTTAGGTTCCCTATATCTCAGTCATGGAAAAGGAAGGATTGTCCAGTGGTTAAGGCACTAGCCTAGGATGTGATACACCTGGATAGAGACTTCCTGGGGCAACTCACTTAGCCTATCCGTGCCTCAATGCCATCTAAATGTGTAAGGTAGATACAGAGGTATTTCTTAGAGCGCGGCCTTGCTTTCCTCGAGCATCTCATCTTTTGTTGTTACAGTTGTAGTTTGGAAACTTATCGTGGTTCCCTCTCTAATTGGTTTGCAGATTTCAATGCCACACCAGTGGCTGGAAGGAAACCTCCCCGTGAGTGCCAAATGCACAGTGTGCGATAAAACATGTGGCAGTGTTCTGCGCTTACAAGATTGGCGCTGCCTCTGGTGCAAAGCTATGGTGAGCTGAGTGAATGTGGAGGACCTCTGTGATACCTTCACCTCCTCCCTGCTGGGTGTGTGCATACCTGTGTGATCTGTTACTGCCGTTTGTGTGATGTGACAGTTCAGGTCACGTTCTCATTCAGATGTACTCCTATTCTTCTCCATGTTGTAGGTGTTCTGCAAAGGGTAAGAAATAAGGCTTGTGCCTAATTGCTTCACGGGGGTGTATAGATAAGGCCCGAAAAGATTTTTCACAACCAAAAACACTCCAGGACTTCTTTACTGCCCGTATATTTGCTTAGAAATACCTGGATTTTCATATCTATCATCTTTTTACTGGAGGTCTTTCATGAAATAATTAAAATTTATAGGTACCATCCTTGGTCCTTAGCTACAAGGGTTGGAGATGATGAATCTTTAACATATTGTTGTTTATAGCTGTGTAGTTATTAACAGAAACAAACAGCAAAGCCAGGGGTTCTAAACCACCTGAATAAAAACCATTTCCTCTCTCGAATCAATGGGTTTCACTTGCTTAAAATCTGTGACGACATAAATCCTGCTGGTTTTTCAGTTGGCTATAGGGATATTAAGGAAAAGGGCAGTACATGAATTTCTCATGTTAAAACTCCCCCAGAAATTATAAAATAACCCCTATCCTGGGCCTTCTCCATACATTAGAAAGGAGCAAAAAGGTCACTAGTCTAATTTCTGGTTACTGGTGCCAAGCACTTTATCAACCTCCTTACTTATCTTAACCCCTCACCATGTCAGTTGCACCTACATTGTGTATTCACCCTACGTCCCCTTCTCTCTGCTTTTCCATTCTCCATGTTCTCTCCTCCTCTGTTCCTTCTCCTTTTCCAACTTTTCATTTTATTCCTTCTTTCTGTCTCTCCACTTGGGCCAAAATGTTGAAAACTGGGTGCCTGAAGTGAGACTTCTAATCCAGACTTAGGCACCTGAATGGCCTGATTTCCAAAAATGCTGAGCACTCAGCTGTTCCCACTGAAGTGGATGAAGTTATACTAGGGAGTAACTTGGCCCTGTGGGTCCCAACATTGTTATCATTCGCTTTTGAGTGTCAGTTGCCCATCTCAGAAGGAAAAGCATCTTGCAGACACAGGAAGGGCTGAGGAGAGTTAACAGAAGAGATGAAAGAACTGTGAACCCAGCTTGCTACATAGGGTGTGTCTACACTGCAGCCGAGAGTGATCCGTCTAGCCCAGATAAACAGACTCTTGTTAACCGAGCTCAAGCTGGTGTGCTAAAAATAGCACTGGGGATGTTGCATTCTGCAGAGACTTGAACTACCCAGGACAGCACGAACCCAAGGAGTTGGGAGGGCTTGAAAGCCCAAGCTGCAAGGTCCACAGTGCTAATTTTAGCAGACTAGCTCCAACCCTGCTAGTGTGAGTTTACCAAGGGCTGGAAGTCTTGCTCACATCTGTACCCTGGGGCTTGTCTACACAGGATTCTCAGGAAAATTAAGATAGTTAACTAAAGGTATGAAGCTAATGTGCATAACTGAGACAGCTTTAAACCTGTTTAATGTAGCTTATGAATTAAGGCAGCTGTACTTAGTGCATGTTTATTTATGTGCATTAACTTGTAGTTAGGCTGCCTATGTCCTCATATAGATGTGTCTTTAGACAGCTTTCTTTAGTCACTTCATACTGTTGATTCCCATTTCTTTGAATCCTTCCTCTCCTCCTCCCTCCCCCCCCCCCCCCACTGTTTTCAGGGTGGGATGGTTTTCTGCATTGTGGAACAGGACTTAAAGGGACTAGCTGACTACAATTTTATTATTTCAGGTACACACAACATGTAAAGATTTGTTATCAACTAAGTGCCCCCTGGGCCTCTGTAAAGTATCAGTCATCCCTCCCACAGCTCTTAACAGCATTGATTCAGATGGTAAGTATTCACCAGTATCTTCCCCCTTACTCTTTCAGTTATAGATCTTTCAACTAGGTATTTTTACCCCAAGGCCCTGAACTGAATTCTGCTAAAATTTCAAGTAAATCCCATGCTGCAGGTTTTGCCTGAAACCTGTGAATGAATAAGCTCATCAGCGTTGAGATCCTCAGGCTGTTCATTTTGGTATAGCATTCGGTTTATTTGCTATGGCCCCAAAGTTAGGGGCTTGTTCATACTGCAAAATTTGATGGCATGATTGATAGAAGCTTGTTCATGCTGGTGTCGGTGTGGCCTTTACGTATGTCAGCATCTCAGAGAAATTATTAACGTCTTCATCCCTGTGTTTGCAGAATGTTACTGCTGGGAGTGAGGTTGTTTTTTCTTCCTCCGTCTCCTATTGCTGCTTCACTTTCCCCACTTTCCTTCTTCCCACTCAGGGTTCTGGAAAGCCACTTGTCCTCCATCCTGCACAAGCCCCTTGCTGGTCTTTGTCAACTCAAAAAGTGGAGACAACCAAGGTGTAAAATTTCTAAGGAGATTCAAACAGCTGCTGAATCCAGCACAGGTCTTTGACCTCATGAATGGAGGACCTCACCTTGGGTAAGGAGATGTTCTTTGGCTGAGCAAATTCCCTGAAAATACCCAAGAAACAGCAACAATTGACTGTTTGTCCTTAATTCTTTCTTCCTTCCCACGCCCTCCAAAAACATCTAGCAAAGGGTACTAGCCTCAGAGAGAACTGTATATATGCAGTATGGAGGGGCTTTCCATAGCTGTTTTTGAGTTACTGATCAGCCAAAATCAGATCTATATTTGAAAGAATTTGTAATTTCCACTCTCCAGTAACTGCAAAACAGCTGAAGGATTTCCCTGAGATTCCAGAAGCTTCCCTCTGGGATGAAACCAAGCATGGAAACTGTCAGCCCAAAAAAGCATGTATGTGAAGACAAGCATCTAAGAGCCTTCTTGACCTAGCTGTAATTATTGTGTTTGCTGTAATGAGAAATGGGATATTGTGGGTGGCACTCGGACACTGTAAAAGTGATCTGTATAAAAACAGTCACAAATAAATATTATATCCATGGAATAAACTCTGTCCTCCACCTGGACCCTAGAGTTATCACTCCTGGGCTGTTTCTACCATCAGACGCCTCTGAGCATCATTCATGTGGGTGAATGCCTTTTTAATTAACAAAGGCCTTCACACTGTCTCCTTTTATGTTTCCCCCAACCTGGCTTGCGTAAAAGCAGGAATTCCAAACCATACTGAGTTGGGCTCTGAGATCAGGCAGTATCCACTCCTGAACCATTTTAAAGCCTACTGGTTTGAGATACCGTAACTACCATAGACATTTAGGCAGGTTGCAAGATATTGGACATAAAACTGAAGCACCCTGATGGATGGAAAAGTTATATTAGATCATTTTAAAGGGATTTTAAATGGTATGTGTTATTTCCTCTCTCTGCCTGCGTGGTTGGATTTGTGGTGCTAAGGCCCATGTCTTCATAGGGGGAGGAAATAAAAAAGGAATAATTTTCTCAAACTTTTAAAATTGCTTTTTTATAGAAAATGAAAATGGCAACAATAAAGTAAATGGTCGGGTGGTGTAAAGTTCACCGAATAATTCCAAACTCGTGCCAACCAAACCAAGCCCCACAATATGCCATCATCTTTGACAGCTCTTTCTCAAGTGCAGTGGTGATTGCATGAAGTAAAATGACTTTTCTGTAGTGCTGTAGTTTATTTAGGACAGGTAATACCCTCGGAGGCTTTACAGTAAGAACCACAGACAGCTTTTAAGAGAGGTTGGATTTTAGGGCTGATATTTTGGCCAATGTCCCCAGTAGCCCAGACAAATGGAGATATTACATTGTGGTGGTGCTGTCTAGTGGCAACGCAGGCAAGGCAGCAGAGCAATGGTTTGCCGACGACCTTTGTGACAGAATTGTGGGTTTAATCTCCTGCTCCTGAACACGTTCATGTACTGAATGTGTACCCCTTTCTTGCAGTCTTGTTTCTTGCAGTCTTGTTTTTATTGGCATGGCTCTGAATGTGGAGGCAGTGAATCCAGGACAACCCAAATAACCCAGTTGTGTGCAGAACACTACAAATCTCAGACAGGAATTCATTCTGCGGATTATCAGCCTCCAAATATTTGTTTCCTCTGCTGTTGAGACTGAAGTACACTGGTGCTGAAATGGAGTACCCTATTATAGAGTCTCCATTCGGTACAGTGAATAGATAAGAACATTGCACATAGCTGTATTTATATTTCCTTTTTACCGTGAAGAATTCAAACGCATCTGGGATCTAACAGTGGCTTGTGTTCGTTGAAAAATTAACTTCTAGTTAAAGCCATGCACAGCAAAGTTTGTAACCCAGATTGAAATAACTAATCAATCCTGTTACTTTAGTAGCATGTTATTTTTCCCCTTTGTTTTATTTTTCCCCTCTGTAGTTTACGTTTATTCCAGAAATTTGACACTTTCCGGATTCTGGTTTGCGGTGGGGATGGAAGTGTTGGATGGGTTCTGTCCGAAATTGACAGCCTCAATCTTCACAAACAGGTACCTGCCCTCAGGGCATGTCCATGTGTAAAAATGAAGAACAGGCAGCAAGGGGTGAAGAGGTCTCTGATTGGAGAAAAATGCAGTTGTGCTAGAATGAAGCAGCTAAACGCTTCCCATAGTTGGCACTCCTGCAGTAACTTTTGCCGAATGGGGCCGAGCGCTGGACTAACAGTGACCCCTGCCAGTCAGTGCTCCTACACAATTCCCTCCTGTGACAGCCTGGTATAGCTCTGAGCGTTCACTCGGTCTCTGCTCCTGCACCATCCCCGACATAGATTTCTGCCAGGAGAGACCTGGGTCTAGCTCCCAAAGGGCCAGTACTCCTACTCCAGTCCCTCTAATAATTCTAAAAGAGACTGTGAGTCCCTGTGGTATCAGAGTCCAGGAATAGTTAAATACTTTCACTCTGTGCTGTGTTAAGGGTAGAGATTTTCTACCGGAGATCCCTGTGCCATTCCCTTAGGTCAGGAAAGGCAACAGCACCACCAGGTGGTCAAATGGAACTGTTGTGCTCTGCCCAGTTGAAAGGTTTTTGTTGTAGTGGAGAGAAGTCATTCGAATCTACTCCTCTCGCCAGTCACAGCTTAAAAATGGTGGGTGTTTTCTCTCTTGCTGTATGCTTTTCTGGCTGTGGCTATCCTCTTTTTTATGACTAGTTTTACTCAGTGATTGAGCTGCTTTTCTGGCTGTGGCTATCCTCTTTTGATGACTAGTTTTACTCCGTGATTGAGCAAGGATGGGAATCAGTGAGGTTCTTCTCAGTGCTGTGTTTGGATGGGTGGGGCTTGTGTTCACTTTCTGGGTATCAATGTTGATCTTCTTTCTCCTGATGCAGTGCCAGTTGGGGGTGCTGCCCCTGGGTACAGGAAATGACCTTGCCCGGGTGCTAGGGTGGGGATCTGCGTGTGATGACGACACCCAGCTACCACAGATCCTAGAGAAGCTGGAGAGGGCCAGTACCAAAATGCTAGACAGGTGAGTGTCAGCCCAAATACAACATCCACATCTCTGACTCAGGTTTTACCACCAGACAGTGTGCTGAGCTCTGTTCTGAGACAACAGCCTCCCAGGACAGTCATATTGTTCCTGGCGCTTACCTGCCTGAATTACTGACTAGTTCCACCAACAGTTCCCCATTATACTCCTGACCCTAGTTGTTAGCAGGGCAAGGCGTTCTTATAGTCCTTGTTACTGTGCAGAATAATCACACCGAGGAGCTATTGTGCAGTATAGAAGTGACTAGTAATGCCTGAAGGGAGAGAGACCTCCCCTTATTGCACATTTACACATACAGCTTTGATGATTGTAAAATGAGTTCAGTGCTTTCAGCCTAGTCCCAAACCACTACACAGTTTGGTATGGATCAGAGGAGATCCAGAGCTGCAGTAAACTCATAGTAGTTAGCTGTGGCATGGATCTTATGCCATTTTGTATATAAGAACAACCATTTTGGGTCAGGTCAATGGTCCATTTAGCACAGTATCCTGTCTGCCGACAGTGGCCAATGCCAGATGCTCTAGAGGGAGGGAATGCAACCAGGTAATCCTCACTTGATCCCTCTCCTGTCACCCAGTTCCAGACACATATCTTCTTCCTTATCCTGCCGTATAGTCTTGAGCAACATATCTAGAGGTTGGGTAGTGGATCTGGATAGCACAGTGAAATTGACAAGGTCCCCAAGCTCTGTATTCTAGAAATCTTCTCTGTGTACCTTGGCTGCACTACCATCTGTGATTTTTGCCTTCAGGTGCTCACTCAGGATTGGAAATAGTTATTTCATATCTGCTTCAAATAGTAAAACTAAACTGCAAGCTGAAATGGACATTTGTATGTCTACAGTTTATTTCTAGCTCAAGCTGACACTTAAAAAATGTTTCTGCAGCAGCCTTTGAGAGTTGAGTGATGGAAACACTCATAGCAAAGCCTTCCATGTGTGTCTGAGAGAGACGGTGGAGGTAGCATACAGGGAGTACTAAGGATGTGGGGATGAAAAGGGATTCTTGTTTGGAGGCTATCACCTCTCCCCCAGTGCAGACCCCTTTACGAGTTGCATGCTGTGATGCTGCGCACCTCAAGGAAGGTGTTCATTTTTTATTCCGAATGTGCATGTGCGTAGCCCTGAATTCAGGTCATAGAAAGAGCCCTTTAATTCTGTCTTAATCCCCACTCGTGTGTATTTCTCATGACGAGGAGGCAGTCAGCTTGGCAGTAATGGTTGCAATGGTTTCATTTCAATAGATGGAGCATCATGGTGTATGAAACCAAACTCCCTCATCAGGCATCAACTTCCACAGTCACTGAAGATTTCACTGAGGATTCTGAGGTACTTAGCCAGCTGCAAAGGGCTAAGGACTGGGAGGAGATTCAGCAGCGGATGGGCTCAGACCAGACGGGGAGTGGACTATGGAGAAGGGAATTTAAATGAAGTGGGCTTAGACTCTGCACAAGAGGGGTGAGGTGCTGTAGAAAAGGATGGGAATTGGGCTGCCGAAAACAATCACCTCTTAAGGAGGCATGAGAGGGGCTAGGGTGCTGCAGAGAGGGGGAAGTTTCAATAGAAGCCAGTGAAGGGCTGTAGAGGAAGGCAGGTTGGGTTGGAAGTTATATTGGCTTTTCTGTACACTGCCAGGCAAGGCAGAATGTTGTCGTTGCCGCTGAAAAGTGTACAACATTCTCTTAACGTCATAAAACCCAGTGTTTTCTATTCCCAAGTGGATGGTCCTGAGCCTCAACTCTGCACCACACTGGCAGCTGTAGGGTCAACACAGACACAGGCATAGTGTGTCTAACTGTGATCTGTACTATGGAGCTCTCAGAGTAAACCCAAAGAAAGTGGAGTGAACAGAAATCACGACCCTGCATCTTAGGTAGACGATGGAAAGGAAGCCCAGGTGTAACACATGGTAACCCTGGCCATCATCCTGGGTGCACTGGGGCAGTGTGAGTTGTGCATTTGTGCCGCTGCTCAGGAGAAATTCAAATGCCGCCCAGCTGATTTGCAGAGCACCCACAGCTAGGCTTTCTGTTTCTGTTGCTCTTGCACATTCACACATGCCTCCGCATGCACAAAAAAAATTGATTCCACACGTGGATGGGAAAGATTAGAGGGAACCTTGAGCCTGGGAACAGTGATCTTACAGCTTATTCCTGGCTGTCGCCAGGTGCAGAAGATTCTCTTCTATGAAGACTCTGTGGCTGCTCATTTGTCCAAAATCTTGACTTCTGACCAACACTCTGTCGTCATCTCCTCAGCCAAGTGAGTATGCCCAGGAGAGCCTATTTGCAGAGGATGCCGGGGGAAATGTCACCCTGAGGATGGTGGGCAAACCTGTAAGTGACTCTTGCCTGTCTTCTTTGCCCAGGGTGCTTTGTGAGACAGTGAAGGATTTTGTGGCTCGAGTAGGGAAGGCCTACGAGAAATCAACAGAAAGCTCGGAGGAGTCGGAGGTCATGGCCAGGAAGGTATGTTGGAAAAAACCCACTTCAGATGTAGACAGCAGTGGGGGAGAATCATCTGCTGTCAGAGAGAACCAGCTGGTGTGCACAGCAACAGTCCGACAGGCTGTTCCACTGGTACGGTCCTGCACAAACCTTTCGCTTTTGCAGTGCTCTGTCCTGAAGGAGAAACTGGATTCCCTTTTGAAGACGTTAAATGATGAATCTCAAGCCTCTTCATCCCTGCCAAACCCACCTCCCACCATTGCAGAGGAGACAGAAGATGGTGATGGATCTGGCAGTGCTTGTGATTCTTCTAGCGACCGCTCTATTGGATCCTCATGCACTGCCCGTCCCCAGATATTCCGGCCTAGGGAGCAGCTAATGTTGAGAGCCAACAGCCTGAAAAAAGCCATTCGTCAGATTATAGAGCATGCAGAAAAAGGTAAGAGGTGGAGAATCCTGCTTGCAGTTCATTTACCATTCCTTGGCTAATATACCCGCCTTCCACTGCAGTCTTACAGCTGCCCACACTCCAAGGTTGAAGGCAACACTTAACCAAAGAGTAGAATGGCAAACTGGTTGACCTGCTGGTTTCCACGGCCCATTTACATGTGTAAATACTCCTGTGGGAAGGGCTTTAGAAATACTTTAGAAAGGTTTTGGATCTAATCTAACATCCTGGTTGGCTTTTAGTTGGCACCTGGACAGCTTCATTCTCGTTAGGCCTACTTTGTGCTCACTGGCCTTTGTGGCCTAGCTCCAGAGGAACTCGACAGCTTCCATGCCTGTCTCCCCTGTCTTTTCTCAGCTCCCAATTCCAGTCCCTTCAAATGTGTCAGGCAGGACACCCCCCAGGCTTTTGTCACAAGCCCCAGCTGAAGCAAGAAGGAAGTTATGTATTGGTTTATTACAGACGGGAGGGAAATGCATACAAGTCAAAGAGATTTAAAGTCTCTGCATACCCAAAGGAGGACAGCCAAAAGCAGCCTTAGACTTGGCACTAAGCCTGAAGGTGCAAATCATTGAAATACACCTGCATTTACAACAGTGTAAGTGGGCTGGGTTATCTCTGTCCTTTGCCAGAGAAACAGGAACTGATGTGGAGAGGCTGTGTCTGTGCAAGAAGAAGCCTGTTAATTCCTTCTAGGGGAGATTTTGATTTCTCCAAGCAATACAGAAACATTTGATTTTACCATCCCTTGAACACACTAGTTCTATTGCTTTTTTTTAACCAGTTTGATTAAGTCTTTTGTGCTGTTTCATTTCCAGACACATTTAATTCCTTTCTTCCTTTTTCTTGGTTTATGCCCAAAGCCCCTCTCCTCCACATGATGCCAAATGGCCTTTTGCATTGTCACTGTCTAGGCTCAGCAAGTAGAAATCTGACATGTACAGCCGTGGTCTCTTTCACTAGCAATTCTGGGGAATATCTCGTTCAAATAAAGGCAGATCCTTTACATTCAGGATAGCTCAAATGAGCAATCGAGCGTATATAGTTATGGCAAGCATTAAGATTGGGCACAGTTTTTCCCAGCACATCACAGCTCTCTTGGAGGTGGTCTCGGCAGAGAGGCAAAGAAGTGAGGGGGCCTGGATAATGAAGTGTCCTCGCCCCACCAGCTGAGTCCTCCAGGTCAGCACTGAGTCCTGGTGTGGGAAAGTCTGTACTGTTGCTGCCATTCATTAATAGATGGATTTTTGCACCTTGAGAGCCCTCATCCTCCCGTTGTTTATGTCTGAGATAGATTTGTTATTGACCTCTGTGGGAGCTGGATCAGGCTTATAATTTGGTATCTTTCGTGAATACGAATGTGGGGTTTTTAAGGAAGGAGTTTTGTGGCTCACTCCATTCAAAACCTTGGGGAAGCTCTTTGGATGACTTCCAGGGTGGGAATTTAGTTTGGGGGCAGCATTGTATTTCCTTGCTGTTTGCCAGCCTGCCCCTTCCATCTGTGCTCTCCTCCCAGCGCTGTAAGACACCTGTCTGTTTCTGTCTCTGCCCAGCTGTTGATGAGCAGAACGCCCAGACCCAGGAGCAGGAGGGCTTCATCCTGGCGCTTTCCACCCCTGAGGAGGGAAAGGAGCTGAGGAACGAGGATAAAATCTCCCTGCAGCCATCACACAGTGGCAGCTATGGAGCTCCCAAAGGGAGGAGCCATCGGAAAGGTACAATCGCTGTCAGGCAGCCCAGGTTCCTGAATTTGTACAGGCACTAGGGTTTCCTTTTCCATTAGGAGCTTCCCAGTACTTCTGAGCCCATCTCTTATTGGAACCTGTTTTCTTCCAGTGTGAGGTGGGTGATAGTTCTGTAACCTTGGCTCAGAGGCCTCGTATCTCTTCCATGTTCATATCCCTTTTGCCATACAGTCCTCTTCCTGCTCTGAGAGAAATCCCTCTCCGGTCTCTGAGGCTTGGACATGATCTTAGTGTGTGGTTTGTGGGACCCAGGAACTTGAGTAGCTTTATGGTTCAGTAGCAGCCAGTCGCAGTGCTGTCAGCTTCTGGTGTTCTCAGCTGTCATCCATTCCACTCCCCTCTGACTTTTTCCTACTGGACCCTTGCCTTCCTGCAAAGGTACTAGAGCAAGGAACCAACTTGTAATCCCTGTGTCATAATCAGGAGTGCTGACCAACATCTGGTGATTAAGGAGTTAACTAATGTCTCCTGTACCTAGCCAGGTATTGGGTGGTCAGCCAATGGCAATGCAGGCAGGAATTTCAAACTGAAAGAGGGGTTTTTTCTCTCTCTTCTGGGTTTAACATTTAGAGCAGTTTTCTTTAAAGAATGAAGGAGATGGGAGGCCTGCCTATCTCCTAGAACAGACTTCTTACAATGTGTAAGTAGGGCAAAGTTTAGATAGTCCATCAGGATTTTGTTGTTTTTCCTGGTTTGGGAATTTGGAACTAATGTCTGAGCCGGTAATAGTGTTTTCTCTCTTTTGTAACTAAAGTTTTGGCCCAGGGGGTCCCCTTGAGTACCTAGATCAATTGGTGGCCCTTTCCATCTAGCCACTTTACTATGCTTGCAACTGTAGTTTTGTTTTGATAATAAAAGTTTGTTTTCTTGTTTTAAAAAACAAACAAACCCCAAAACCCTCTCTTCCAGTTTGAAATTCCTACCTGCATTGTCATTGGCTGACCACCTGATATCTGGCTAGGTACAGGAGACCTACTTTACCCCTTAATCACCAGATGCTGGTCAGCACTCCGGAATATGACACTCTGTTAAGTGAGAAACTTGTGAGAGAGCCCTATTCGCTCCATATAAATCCAGAAGTGAGTTGGGACTAGGCCAATACCCATCTGTTTTCTTCTGCAACTAGAGCAAAACCTCTCTCATCTCCATTCCTAGTATTAGTTCCACATCTTTTGTGCCTCAGTGCTGGTACCGTGTGTGTGTGTGGGTGTGTGTGGTGTGGGTGTGGGTGTGGGTGTGGGTGTGGGTGTGGCACTTGAGCCAAACCTTGTTGTCCCTTCATGACTCTGGTTCTCTCTTTTTGCGTCACTGTGCTTTGTATTGTCTGGAAGGTGTTAATGTTGAGTGGCTGGTAATTTTACCATCTGTCCTCTATTCCTTCATGTTTGTATGGTGCCTGTATATGTGTGTTTGAGCAATACACAATGTTTGTCAATTGGAGTGTTTGGTGTTGTATTTTGTAGTGTCCAAATCTCCTTGTGAAAGGCTAATAAACAAAGGAAGTTTGTCGCTGGGCAGCTCTGCATCTCTTCCTCCCCAGACAGGAAACCGGGACAACCTGCCAATGCTCAACACAAAGATCCTCTACCCAAGTGAGTGTCTTCCCCACCCCTTCCCATCCAGGCAGCCAGCTGAGCTGGGTGACAACAGCACAGACTCAGCTCTCCAGCTGAGGGCATGAAATGTGCTTGATGTCAGTTCACCCAGGCAAATTATAGCCCAGGCCAAGCTGGAGAGGAATCTGTTTGCAGGTAACTTTCCAGCAGCCTTGAATAGTGCAGAATTGGGAAACAATTATAGTCATCCTCAGCTGAGATTCAGACCGATTTCATGGCCGCAGTGCAGAGACAGATGAGTGCAGAAACGTAACAACCTTGGCTTCGTAGGAGGATGCTGCAATGGTAAATCCTTGGAAAGTTCTCAGTCGAGTGCTGGAGCATGCGTTCAGGAGAGGCCCAGAAGTGAAGGCTAGTACTTCCGCTACAAGGCTGAAGTCACTGGGAGTACTTTATCTCCCTTATTCCCATCTCAGAGATCCTCCAGCTGTTTCCATCTCTTGGTGTTCTTAGCAGGTCACTCGTGGATAGCTTTAACTCACGACAGCTCATGCTACCATCTATATGTTTTGTTAGTCTCTAAGGTGCTGCTGGACTGTTTGTTGTTTTTTAAGTTTTTTCTAGTTACAGACTAACTTGGCTGCTACCCCTCTGTGAAGATCCCATTGTGTTCATTTCCGGGGGTTTGTTCTTGTCCAGAAAGAGTCAGAAACACTTTCTCCCTCTTGGTTGCTAGCTGATACCGTGGGGAGCAAGATGCAGCAGCTCCTGAACCGAGTGGTGTGCAGCCTTGATCCCCCCTTCTACCCCACGTCAGGCTGAAGCCCTGCTGTGCAACTTGCCTCCAGCAGTAGGAAAGAGCTAGCAGAAAGCTCCCTTCAGCCCCCTCCTCCTCAGGCATGGACTCTGCCACGCCCAAAGCCCCAGAGACCCTTAGGAACTCCCTTCCCAGCTGGATTGCTGACTCTGCCCTGCTGGCGGTGGGGGAGAGAATGTTCTGGAGCCCTCCTTGGTGCTAGGGGCTGTACAAACATAGACACATGGACTTTTATTTTGCCTCTCCCCCATTTAAATAAAAGAAAAGCCAAAGGTGGATTCCCACCACCAACAGTCTGTGTGTAAAATCCGCTTTTTCCTAGAAAGAGCCAAAAATGCTGACAGCCCTTTTATTTGGACCCCGTGCTGGTTGGGGGTCAGCCCTGAGACTGGTGCTTGTAATATGTCCCATTGCATTTATGTCTCAGACCTCTGTCCTCTTGGCTCTGGGAGTAAGTTGCAGTTCTTTGTCCATTGTTAACACACCCTGGTCTCCATATTTAATAAACTCCATGAGATGCCTTACATATAATTTCCTCTTTATTTCCTTCACCAGATATTCGTGCGGGTATGTCTGGTTCTCTGCCTGGGAGTTCGGTCATCAGCCGACTGCTGATCAATGCAGATCCCTTTCACTCTGAGCCAGAAAACCTGTGAGTATGCAGAGGGACTGAATGGTAATGAATGGTTCCAGATGAACCTCAGCATCAGTAAATTGCAGCAAAGGAAGAGGATTGGTTAATCGGGGACGTAGGCAGCCCCAGGATAAAGAGATGTCAGCCAACCCTCCTATGCTGGATGCCAGTGTGGGAAGTCAGTTATCTAGGTGCATGGGCATGAGGAGTCAATGCAGAAGATCTGGGGCTTCTAGTGAGAATCTAACCCAGGCTGCCATCCTCCCAGGACGTGTGGATGTGAGGGAGTGCCTCTGTCTCCCGGTTAGCGTGATACGAGCATGGCCCAGTGAGAGCTGTCCAGCAAGCTACTCCTGAATTCTCCAGTAAGACCCCTTGGATGCTGCAGTCATTTGTACATTCTGCAGCAGCTCCAGGCAAATGCAAAAATGGGAGTTTTAACTACCCGAGTTGTGAAAGTGACAAATGCAATCAGCATGCAATCCCCTGGTGGTGTTTGTCCCCAGAGTAAGTCTCCTTCATTTGCATGTGCCCCTCAATATTCAGTCAGTGTGCTGCAGATCATTACATTGACTGTGTATGAGTGAGATGTATGGGGGAGAAACTGGACAGTTTGACTGTGGCTAACATGGTGTTTAGGGCTTTGGGGTCCACGAAGGGATTGGGAAAAGGGTTGGAATTGTGCGAGAAACCCATTTGTTGGATGTTTCACTCCAAATATTTAGCAGTAAAATAGCTAAGTGTTGACATTTAAATCATTATCATTAGTGTTCAGCTCACTGAGATGAGCTGTTGACTTCTCTGAGTTCAGGCTCTCTGCAGAGTCAGACAGAGAGCACATTTTCAACTACGTGTGGTTCACACTTGTTGAAGTTTTCTTCCCATCCATAAAGGTCAGAAACATAACTGCTTCCAAAAGAAATGGTAGACTCTTAAGCACAGTTGTGTGGCACGACAGTGGATTTAACCTCCGATTCCATGGCCAGTGATTGGCAGAATCCACAGAACCTTTTAGACCCTTTCACAGTGTGTCCGGACTGCTCTTTATGGTGTTTTTTATGGGGTAGTTGAATCAGCTGTCACTAGAACACAGAAGATCCTGCTGGCTTTCTCCTCTTTTTTCAAACTTCGATGTCTGTGGTGTCCAGCACTCTAGCCGCATGTGGCTGTTTGACTGATTGAGTGTGGCTAGTTCACTTCAGAACTGGTTGGACACCACGGCTCTGCATCAGGAGCTGGGGATGGCTGAAACAGGCATATGAGATGTGGGCCACTTTAAAAAAACAATTGTTTTTCTTCTACTTGACAGAGAGTGTTACACGGAGAAGTGTGTCATGAATAATTATTTTGGAATCGGATTGGATGCAAAGATCTCCCTGGACTTCAACAACAAACGTGACGAGCACCCAGAGAAGTGCAGGTAGCTTAGTTCTTTGGGAGACAGGTTTTGGGTCTTCATTGTCTGTCCAAAATTATTACAGTTTATAATCTTCTAGATGATTTACCCAGCACTTCTTGAGTCCTTCATGGCAGGAGCCTAGGGGTGGAGAGGGTAGGTGCAGGAGGGGCTCAGGGAAGGGGGTGTGGGGAGTGCAGGAGTCAGGGCAGGGGGTAAGGGGCTCAGGACATGGGATGGTACCAAGAGGGAGAGTTTATTTTCTAATTCAAGACCTTGTAGATAATTGGGCATATAGTTCTGTGGGATTCAGGATACTTGTATAGAGACAAGGTACTTCAGACAGCCTGAGGTTAATGAATTTTCTCTGTCCTGAACAAACATTCCGCGACACCCTTAGCTCAGTGATGTATGTGACTGATTGCATCTCCCTCCTTGGGAGCATCTGCACATATTTCCAGCAGCTCATGTTAGTGGATCATCCCTAATTCCTGTTACATTTATTTTCAAGGGCAGCCTCTTTTCAGCACACAAGGGGAGGCCATTTCCAGTGCTTGATTTTCTGCAAGAGGAGGAGTCTTGTTTTTAGGGGGTTGAGAAGTTCTCGCCATCCGGCAGTAGAAGACAGTGCCTTGTACTGGCTGTTGTATCTCTTGTTTCTTTGTTTGCCCCTCTCAGAAGCCGTACTAAAAACATGATGTGGTATGGAGTGCTTGGGACCAAAGAGCTGCTACACAGAACATACAAGAACTTGGAACAAAAGGTTTTGCTGGAGGTGAGAGGGAAAATGCTTGTATGTGATTAAATCTCTTCTCCTCCTATCCCAGTCACTTTTTACTTTCTGGCGTCTGGGTTGGGACATTTATTTTAGCATTTATCAGTCTTTCAGCTGAAAACATGAAGCCCTTCCAGCATCTCCGTCAGTCACCTTGAATCTGACCCAGCTTGTTGATTCAAGAGAAATAGTTCCATTGTCAGCCCTTGGGTTCCTCCCTCCGCTGCACTGTTAGCACATGTCAACCCTCTGCCTGGTGGAATAGCCTGTGCTAATCTTGGGAAGAGCTTCCCATTCTGCACACATGAAATCCTCTCTTATATCGGTTTGGAAAACGTTGCCTAACCCGCTGCGGAACAAAGACTTAACTCTCAGTATGGACGGGGCTTGTTACGTTTAAGGTTGTATTTCCTGTGAACACCTTTGTGCTTATCTACTCAGGTTGTCTGAAGTCATATTAATTAACATGTTCTGCAGGGGAGAGGAAGGGGGGGTTCTCCTCCAGGCTCTCCCCATAAAATCAGCTCCACCTATATGAGTTGTCAAAACGTTACCCCACTCTCAGCAAATTGGTTGAATGTTCAGAATGTGGTCCCCCCCTTGAATGTGCCCATGAGCTCCGCTACATTTCTTGGCTATGGCTCAGGCTTGATTGGTGGAAACGAGAGCTGGTGTCTCCCAGACAGCACCTGCTTGTGCCACCAGAATGAACCGTCACTCCTGGGAAATTGGGTCCCTCCCTCTTCTTTCTTACACAAGGAATAAAATAGTCATTATTGCCATTTAAGCTATTGTCAACAGGCATCGTGAAGTGACGTCTTAGTTTGCCACCTCAACGGCTGCTATTCTAGGCTTCTGCAGACATCTCTCTGCACCAGATACTCTGGGCTCATGGGTTTGAGGGTATTTTTGCCACCATACCAGCTGGAGACTTGCTTTCTCTTTTTTACATAAAAGCTGGAGAGCAAGCCAGTCCTCAGAGACATGCCAGGACAGTACATGGGCATGCCCCAGCTGTTTCCAAGCCCTGATATTATGTTGTGATGATAATTCCTGTGGTAGAGAAGGCCAGCAGTCCTGGGAACTCTTTCAGTTACGCAGGTGCTGTGCTTCAGTGCCAGCCCAGTGAGGGTACCCTCAACAGTGTTCGACTGTCTTCCAACATCGGCCCAGCTGTGAATATGGCGTTATCTTCCATTCTATGCAGTGCGATGGGCGTCCGATCCCTTTGCCCAGCCTTCAGGGGATCGCTGTGCTCAACATTCCCAGCTACGCTGGAGGCACCAACTTCTGGGGAGGCACCAAAGAAGATGACGTGAGTATTCCTGGAAGATGGTAAATGGGAATATGAGAGATTTCCTTGGAGTTTCCTGTGGAGTGCACTTGAGGCCTGACAATTGGTTTTCTGGTTGAGGCTCCTCTGTGGAGTGTGTAGCTACCCAAAAGTCAGACGTCAGCAATTTGTCATACACGGGTTCAGGCTGGAGCTAGGTCCTTTCCCAGCCCTTCTGACTTTCATGAAATGTGCCCTGTTCCTCTCTGCTCAGAAGGCCTGCTCTAAAGCCCAGTTAAGCTTAAGGACAGTCTTTCCATGAACTTCAGTGGGTTTTGCTTCAAGCTCCAAAACAGTTTTTGACCTAAAATAATGGAGATCATAGAATCATAGAATACTAGGGACTGGAAGGGACCTCGAGAAATCATCAAGTCCAGTCCTCTGCCCCCATGGCAGTACCAAATACTGTCTAGACCATCCCTGATAGACATTTATCTAACCTACTCTTAAATATCTCCAGAGATGGAGATTCCACAACCACCCTGGGCAATTTATTTCATTGAGATGATTAAGTCCCATAGGAAGAATGTAGCGTAGAGGCCTGTGTGTATGAATAAGCCTTTAGCAGCCTTTGGAAGCCCATTTGGAATACTGAGGGACTTTTTCTACTTCCTGGATCACTTTACAATCCACATTGTAGCCTCATTGCTAATTATATAGAGAATAAACAGCAAAAAGTGAAAGCCCCAATCTTCCATCTGGAGGTAGAGAAGGAAGCTCTTCTAAGAGAAAGGAATATATTCATTGAATTCTCTCTTCCCCCTGTGTGTGCTTAGACATTTACAGCCCCCTCTTTTGATGACAAGATCTTGGAGGTAGTAGCCGTGTTTGGCAGCATGCAGATGGCAGTGTCACGAGTGATTAATCTACAACATCACCGGATTGCACAGGTATCTTTTGTGAGCTTCTTGGCCAACCATATACCTCCCTACCCAGAACACTTGGTTTGAAGGCTGTGATGTGTTTCTGCTTGTTTTTAATCCCAACAGGGCAGATAATGCAAAACTTGTGGCTCTTAAGCTCTCCTAGTTCTGATATAGGGTTCTATAGGGGTCAGGTCTAGTGCTCTCAGATGGTAGCGAGTATGGGGTGGTTTTCCACTGCTCACTGTGATCTAAGTCGATTGTGGCAGTTCAAATGCAAACTAGAATTTGTCCTGTGCAGGAAGAACTGTGTGTCTGAATCCTGCAGCAATTAGAAACAAAGCTGTCAGGCATAGGGAAACCTTTTGAGAGGAAATGTAGGGAACACCTCTTATCTGTTGGTAACTTGTCCCGGGACTTACTTAATGTGTTCATTTCTTGCAGTGCCGGACAGTGAAGATCGCAATCCTGGGAGAGGAGGGGGTGCCTGTACAAGTGGACGGAGAAGCCTGGATTCAGCCTCCTGGCTATATTTGGATTGTTCATAAGAACAGGGCACAGACACTAACTAGAGACAGGGTAAGAGTAACCTTCCAGTACAGTATGTGTACAAATGAGGCACCCTTTAGTGCCAGAGACACATCAGGGCAGGGTGCAATACCCTGCCTGACTAGAGAGAGAGACATACGGATCAGATGTGCAGTAGAGACTCTTTTAAATGGACACTCTCTCTCTCTCTCAGCTAAAAGAATGTTGCTAAGTTTGCAAAATCCCCGTGCATGTGTGCTTGCTGTCTTTAATGACATGATCACATACTATTTTTTCTGCAGGACCCCTGCCTCATTCTGCAATGGATGAAGGAGCTATTCAGTGTTTTGTTTTCTCCTTGTTGTTCAGTGTCTGGCTGCAGGCCTCGTTGGCCAAGTAAAGTGAGGTCTACCCTCCACTGAACGGCATTTCTTTGTCTGTCTGTCCGTCTGTAACATGATAGCCTTTGAATGCCAAATCCGATCAACTGCAGAATTTGCAGGAATGTTCTAGGCAGTGTCCAGAACCCCAGTGATTTGGAGGAAGTGGAGGCACATGGAGCCTCTGACTCCTGGTTAGCAGACTCAGTGGTTTCAGCCAGCTCTGACGTTGACTATAGATCCAAGCCACTGATGCCAGCCGTTGACACTCCCAGCATAACAACGCTGCCCATCTCAGCGCTGCCCATCCTCCCAAAAGGGGTCGTGTTGATCTCCTGAATGTCTTCTGTCCCAGACCAAAAGATGGCAGAGTGTAGTGGGGAGGAAAGCGGGATGGGGCACAGTAAGCCAGTACCCTGTGGGAAGAATGGGGGACCCTAGTATGTGGGAATGGAGGGGCAAACAGCTCTCACAGGGCCCATGACATGGTGGAGGAGAACCAGGGAATGACAGGGCACACAAAGCCAGCATGCTAGCGGAAGGAGGAATGTGTTGCACAGAACCGCTTGCATGGAAGGAGAATGAGGCTAATGATAAGGGGGTAGAGGACAGGGCGGGACTTGGGGCACACCGAACCCATGGTAGGGGTAAAATGGGAAGCAAACAGAGCTCCAGGCATGATGAAGATGTGGGGGTGCAGAGCCCCTCACTGGGAAGAATGGAAATTACAGCATGGGGAGACTCAGAGCCCCTGGCAGATGTAGGGGAAAAGCGGTTAAATAGAGAAGGGAGAGTGGCACATAAGGAGCCTGTGGGGGGAGTAGAGGGGTATCTGTGGTGAGCTTGGCCTATAGCAGCAGCAGTGTGTGTGGCCCTCTAGTTCACGGCACACTACTCCCTCCCTTCTCTGAGCACAGAAGTGTTAACTTCCTCTGGGCTTTTCTGTGGTGCGCAGCACCTGAATGCTCACAAACATTCATCCCTCTACCTTCACAGCACCCCTCGTGGTGAGAGGTCCTCAGCCCTCTTACAATGGGAGCAGGCCTGCGGACAGCATGGTCAAAAGTGTCCACTCATTTTAGGTGCCTAATCTGAGACACGGAGGGCCTGATTTTTCTTCAGACTGCTTAGTATTTATAGGACTTTCTGTACTCAAAGCCCTGTTCCCATCGGCTTCGTTTGTAGCTCTGAGTGCTTAGCCCTTCAGCAACGCCGACTCCACGGTACTAGGCAGGCCACTCACAAGATGAGGAAAGCACAGTTAATGATCGTCCATGGGAAGGTTTTTTTAAATGGGTTTCCCAGCATCAGATTGGAACTCCTGGCAAAGATGGGTTGAATCTCGTTCTCCAGGGTTACATTCAGCTGCCTTGACTATGAAACCATCTTTCTCTTCCTTCAGTCCCCTGTTTCAGTCTGTACGCACCTTCCAACTTCTGCAATAAAGCAGGGGGCCTACAGATAAGTCGTCTTTAACAGAGCAGCCCCATCCTGTAACTGAATGAAGCAAAGGAATGGTCCTGTATAAAATTAGTATGTGACCGTGTAATTAAAGGCTGTGTCATAGTGCATATGCCCAAGGGAGGGCAAACTAAGGTGGCACAGGCAACCTTAATTCTGCCATTTCCTCACTTTTGAGTGTTTGGCTTTTAACAGTCTTTTAACATAATTGTGTGTCTGTGATTTCCTGAGTCTTTAAAAAAGCAAACTGGAAAAACAGTTCTAGTATTTAACACCTACATGGGTCATCAGCGAGGTTGGAAACTCCAGGTTCATCACCTAGACCTCCGTCACTTGAGCTAACAAAGTAACTGAAGCAAGAGTCGGTTGTCATCCCCTATGTGGACCGGGGCTAGACAGACACTTCAGTGGTGGGTTTCACAGATATTAGTTGGCAGCAGAGAAATGGTGAGAATAGTCTCTTGGGTTCCATTCCAGGCTCTGGATGAGTGTGTGCTCGAGTGGGTCCTGACATTTCTGCCCATTTCCCCAAGCCCCATCCTTCTGCCCCAACCACACTAACCTCCCGTGTCCCAGACATCCCCACCTCTGGCTTCTTGTCCCAGTTCCGTTCTCCTCCCCTCGCCAGGCCCAGTCTCAGCTCCTCAGGGTTTTCATCTCTGGCTCAGTCTCCTTGGCCAGTAAGTCCTTGTCTCACTTCCCCCAATCTCCTTCCCAAGCTAGTCCCTGACCCTCTCACTTGCCAGCTCAGCTCTTTCTCCTCTGGCCTCCCGTTGTTCCACCCACCCATATTCCTTCGGCTGTCCTCATCAGCTCTCTTCCCTTCATGGGCTCCTCATCTAATTCCCCCTTCCTCCCCCTCAGCTCCTAGTCCCCATCTTTTTGCCTAACCAGTCCCATTCTCAGCCTCCTCTCCATTCCCTCCCTGACTCCCAGTCATATTGCCCAGCCTGTCCCAGCTCTGTCCTAGCTCCCCTCAACACCCTGTCCCTGAGGTCAGGTTCTAGCCCCACATTAGGCAGCATTATTCTCCATGCTGCTTTGCCAGCAAGGGTGGTACGCTCCCTGCTCTCCATTCTGATACCTGGCCCCAGAGCTGCAAGTGCAGAGAAAGCCCTGCTCGGTCCCAAGGCGGAGGATGCCCTGGACGGACGTCACCTCTGAGCATGTACAAACTGCCGTTTTTCAAAGGCTTGGCCAAATCTCGCTGGAAGAAAAACTCCTGTCCCTGACACAAAGGCCACCCAATTTCAAGTCCCTGTCCCAAAGCCTGCAATGCTGGAGCTTCTCCAAGAAAAGGGGACCACAGGCTTTTAACAGGACCCAAACAATGCATTTTCCCCTAAACTTATTCTGTACTGTTTGGACTGTAATTTCCCAACACAGCAAAAGGCAGTGAGCCTCAGACAACTAGCCAGCTTGGGATGTTTCAGCCTCAATGTTAGTCAAAGTTAAAAGCAGCTGGGAACATGAGGGTCTTATAGTGGGAAGTGTCGAGCAGCCTTCACAATCGGTGGTGCTGCCAGTTCTGCCTGTGATACTGGCATGGGCAGGTCCTGTGGGAAGGCTGATGGAGATTTCCAAGGTAGTTTTGAATGTATTTTCCATCTTTGTAGGCATTTGAGAGCACCCTAAAGTCCTGGGAGGACAAACAGAAGTGTGAGTTGTCCCGGCCCGCCTCTTTCTCCCTTCACCCAGAGATCATGTCTGAGGAAGAGTCCACCCAGATTAACCAATTTTGTCAAGCGGCAGGAGCTCTGATTCACAGGTATGACCCACTTTTCGTTTCCTGGGGCTCTCAGCCCTCCTATGGCCTCTGGATCGACTGGGCTCATGCGGAGAAGCCTGGCTATGAGTGTGGTGCTCCTTGTCCGTTCCCATTCCTTCCAGAGCGGTCAGTCCTGTCTCACCACCTGCACTGCTCCTCTGTCTCCCTGGTACTAGCCTAAAGCAAAGTGTCATATGATCTGTACACGGCGCTCCCCCAGAATTTCAGTCTACACAGTGAAGTTTCTTCAGCCACATTGACCGCATTCAGGCCTGGCCCTAGCAAGCCCAGCTCCCTTCATTGCTCCTCTCGGGCCCGAGGTTGATATTGTACTTTTAAAGAGCAAAGGGACTTAGATTAATCTGTTGTTCTAGATGTTGCCGGTGAATTTGTCAGAAATAAAGCAGCTGCTTCTGGGGCGCCACAGCAGAGATTTGTGAAACACACTTGTACTCCTGCTAGTGTCCTGCTCACTGATATTAGCAGTAAGGAGAAAATATGCCGAGAAGAACACCACAAGAGTCTTCTGTCGACTACCATGTGCATGCCTGCAGCTGACATCACAACCTGTTTGTAGTCTTACTGCATAGGGTCATATTTAAACTCTGTCCTGAGTTGTATTTTGCAAAAAAGAAAGGGATGAGGATCAGCTGACATCTGTTTTTCTCTTCCTGCCTCCCCTCCCCCCAGCATTCGGGAAGTAGCCCAGTCCTATCAAGACATGGAACAGGAACTTGCTCATGCAGTCAATGCCAGCTCCAAAACTATGGACAAAGTATACGCCAAATCCAAATCAGCAGAGGTACTTCTAGGCAGTTTCTTTCTTAAACTTTACCGCTATTTTGTCACTATTTTCTTCTTGATTCATGCTTGCTTCCCCGACACCCCTATCCCTCCAGCCACTTGTGCTGTGATCTCTGGTGCTTACACATGTTTATCGTTGCCACAGGGTCTGAACTGCAGCCTTGTTGTAGAGATGGTGAATAATGTTAAAGCCCTGCATAGTGAAACTGATCTCCTGCTGGCTGGCAAGATGGCACTGGTAAGAAGGGCTAAGCAGGAGGAAAGTTCCCTTCAATCTGTTACTTCTCTGTTCTCTTACTGTGGCCATGGCATCCAGTCAAGATTTTGCCTGAACCCTGGACTCCTTTCGCTTTGGAACAAGTCAGTGCAAACTTTACCAGTGGGATTTTAGATGACTATAAGCAAATTGTGCCATCCGTTGCCTCCATTGTTCGGTAACGTTACCTATCAAACAGTGATATCCGGCTGGTTAGCTCTGGTTCCTTGAGAGGGATGAAACTTAATAAAGCAAGGAAGGTCTTGACATGTGGTTCCTTCCAAAATTCAGAGCTCAATCATTAACCAGGAGTTACCTGGCGGGAAGCTATCCCTCAGGAGACTACACGTGCTGCATTCATTCACCTTGTGGTTCTCAACTCTGTATGCCTTTGTTTCTGCTCCGATGCAGCAGCTGGATCCTCCACAGAAGGAGCAGCTCCTAGCAGCCCTCACAGACATGGACCTTCAGCTGAGGAAATTAGCAGACATCCCCTGGCTATGGCAGCTCATGGAGCCCAGTGATGAAGAGGTACTAACTCAGACACAGGAGCAAAACGTTTTCCTAGGTGCCCTCTTCGTTAGTTAGCTCTGCTCATCTTGCTTGAGTGTTTCCGGTGGGTAGTCGCAGGTGTGAGACAGAATCAGTTCAGAAGAAAACCCTAGAGAGTTACTGCCAGAGGTCTCTGGGTCAGCATGGACCTGACCTTCCCATTTTTCTTCGCCATCCTGACCATGAGATTGGAAGCTCTTTCCTCTCCAAAAGGGCTCTGAACTGAACTAGGTGCTACTTGTGTTCATTCGGTCTGCATGGTTGTGAGACCTAAGTCATTGATTTCCCTTTGTGTTTCTGCAGAACCAGATGCTGGATTATTCCAAACGCAGCCGCAGTGGCAAATTTCGACTGGTGACCAAGTTTAAAAAGGAGAAAAACAACAAGAATAAGGAGACTCGTAGCAGCATGGGACTGCCTGGTACCAACTGGCTGTATATCCACTCTGTGTATCCCTGAACCTCCTGTTTGTGCACACACACTCTGCCCCTCCTCTGCCTGGGTCTCCATTTTGTGTCTCTCTCCCTTTCTCACGTGTTGCACTCATTCTGTTTAGTGTTTCCTTTGCTCTTGGCAAAGTAGCTTTTTCTCTCTCTGAACCGTAACACCCTGCACTCAGTGGATATTCCCACAGACAGACTGGCGGCACCCTCCGAAGAGGTCTCCCGAGACTTGGACTGTTTTCTGCCACATCTTGGGAGGGCTGTGCAAGTGAACCTGAGAGGCTTGGGTTTTTCAAAATCAAAATGACTGTGGGGCTCAAGTCCGCATAACTCCCCTGCTGATGCTCCTTGATGTGGTTAATGATTGTTGTCTCATTGATTTGCCCCCAGGGTTTAATCAAGTTTCATGTCTAATTGGCTGGGGATCCTGCATCACCACAGGTGCACTCCAGTATGATTAAAAACTGGCCTATGAAATCAACACGTTGACAGTGGTATCAGGACACTTTCTCTCCACTTGGCTTAGTTGATTTTTGGTTCAGATTCTACCTATGAAGACTCGCTGCCTCTAAAATTCGGGAGTACTATTCTGTGGGATCATGGGAACTGTCCTCTCCCATGGAATTGTGGGTCCTGTCATTCTTTTCTCCTTGGCATTCTCTCTCCACTCAGATTGTGGGGACTTCGCTTGGTTCTCTTATTTAGAGACTAGTCAGGAGAAATGGAGGTCTGCCTGTGTTCATTGCCCGCCCTCTCCTGTATCAGAGGGAGAGGTTACCATCTTGTCTATAAAGCACTCGGTTGGCTGGGAATGTAAAAAGACATAAGTGCCAATATGCACTGCGTACTCTAAAAACACAATAGAAAACTTCCCCTGAGCTGGATTCTCTCCTAAACATTTTGTGTTTTCATTTTTAAACTGAAGAAAATGGACTTACTTTTCAGACATGGTGGTAAAGTTTCAGTTCCAGCAAGACCGTAACTGGACATTGACATAAGCAGACTTCCACGGGTCATTGCATCTAGTCTCCTCTTAAGAGAACAGCTCTGATGTTAATCTGGCCTCCTTCCTTGTTTGAGATTGTAACTCCTGCTGTAAGTTTTCCTCCCCCTCTTGTATGGGGTTGTGGTCCTGCTTGACATCCTCCCTTGGTGTTACTTTTGGGTTTGGGTTTGGACACTGTCGGTGTTCTTTCTCGCTCTCTTTCCTCTGGGCTCCTGGGTACTCAATGCACTCCTGCTTTTCCATCTCCGACAGTTCACCTCTGGGGAACGGAGGAGGTTGCGGCCTGGCTTGAGCATCTCAGTCTTTGTGAGTATAAAGATATCTTCATCCGGCATGACGTCCGGGGCTCTGAGCTCCTGCATCTCGAACGGAGGGACCTCAAGGTACTTTCCTGATCCACTCAGCAACAATAGCCAGCTGCACCTGCATGGCCGCCTGTGCTGAATGTGCTTGGAACTGGCCTGCTGCATGCCATCCATGTCCAGGGGCTTTGGCTAGATAAATGGCTTCATCATAGCCTCATTGTACTCTCTTCTCAGGTCACCCAATTACAATTTATAGTAGCAAACTAGCATAAAGAGTCAGCCATTAGCCTACAGGCTGGCAGGCTGCCTCTTTCCCAGTTTCCTAAAGTTGTAGCCCAGTCCAACATCCAAGCCTAAGTCATCGAGAATCTTTATTTCTGAGCATTGTGGAGCAGAAGGAGTTCAGCATTCAGCCCATTGCGTTCACTTTTATCGTAGTTGAGACAGTGGACAGAGACCTGTTACTTGTGCTGCTTGTGGAATAGCCAGTCATAGCCTTACAGGAGAGAAAACAGTAGTGCAGTCTAGGGATGTTTGATACCGGGTAATTGAATACTCATGTAACCACATATAATCTTAGTGGTTACACGACTCTTCAGTAGTCCCTGAGGGCAGGGCTGGCAGCCAATGTGCTGGCCCCATTCCTGCGGAGCCTCCTGCCGCCCCAAGCTGCTGCCTCTGTATCAGAGTGCGGGGTGGCAGGGGGAGCCAGTCTGAAAACCAGCTCCCTGCACAGACCAGCTAAAGTGATACAGAGGCAGCGGGGGTGGGGGAAAAGGAATGCGTGTGGTCAACAAAATTAACCAGTAAGCTCAGGCTTGTCAGTTAATCGTAGTTGACTATACGTTGATGACCCTAGTGCAGATGAACTCTGCAAAACCTTGCAGCACTACTCCACTTACCAGGAGAAACTTTTTCTGGGAAGGAAAGTTAAGAAGAACTGTCTCAGACCATGTGACACGAGTATTTGTGGCCCATGGATTTTGTGAGATAAATGAATGCCCATAGAATTTTCATTTGTGACTTGCCTCTGCTCTGTGTGTACAGTGGCTACTGTGAGGTGAGTGATAATATGGTTCCTATGCATGATCTTCAACTCTTT